GTGTGTGTGTGAGAGAGAGAGAGAGAGAGAGAGAGAGAGAGAGAGAGAGAGAGAGGCGTGTCTCCAAGAGGTACCGGTCTGTGAGAGAGAGGTACTTGTGTGTGTGTTTGTATGTTTGTGTGTGTGTGTGTGTGTGTGTGAGAGAGAGAGAGAGAGAGACAGAGAGGGGTTCCACAATGTGGGCGGTAGGGAGCGGGATACGGAAGAGGGTTGAAATAGTCCGTGAATGTTGAATTCTTATCAGTCGTTGCTGACTAGCTCTCGAGGGTAGGAAACCAATGAACCAGCGACCACATGAATTCTCGTATGATGCCGATGTGTATTGTGCGGTCCTCTTTTGCCACGTGGCGTGGGCCTCTCTTGGAATGTGGCCTGACGACCGTCGGTTACCTTCGGTTCTACGAGGCACCTCTTACAAGTCTGTCGTTGTTCATTTCGTGTTCATCCGCATCCGCCCATTTATCGATCCCTATCTCCCTCCCCTTCCCTGCACGCGTGATTACATGCATCATCCATCCATTACAGTAAAAATACCTCTGTTCGCCATCTGTCTGTCCGGCGACACGTCGAGGGAGTGCGTGTTTGTTTGTAATCACGAAGTTTTAATTGACAACCAACCAAACATATGATCCTCCGCACAAAATTTCGTATATTATCTAACGGATAATAAGTAAGTCGAATGGGCCCGAGGTATGTCGAGCGAAACGGGCAAAGTGCAAATATTTTGGTGACGTTTTCGTTTTCTCCTTCTGGGTTTTGGTGGCCTGTTCCCCCTGGGTTGGTTGTTTATCGTCGGGTGAGGGTGTGTGTGCATATATGCATTTATCTGACGGGTGCTGGGTGCGCGGGAGGGGAGGAGGGGGGGGGAGTGGGGCGGGCAGGTTCCCCCCTTTTGGGGGGAGCCAGGGGAGGAGGGACGCGAGCCTTTGTGACGTTTTTCAAGCATCCGATCCTGAGTCTTTGTGATGCGTTTGCTGAAGGAATGCGACTCTGGTGAACCTTATTTTACGTGATGTTGAATACGCGAGTTCCGTTCGTTATGTGTGATCTCATCACACGGTTTAATTAAGCTGGGTAGCATTTCTGCCCTCTTTGGGGTTCCTTCTGTTCTGGCCGTGACTGACATGTGTACGTCAATGATGTGAATGATGTGAATGATGTGAATGACGTGAATGATGTGTTGCCATGTACTCGTGGCAGTTGTGCTATGGAGCGGATATGGTGGATATGGTGGCTGTGTACGAGAGTGGTTACTTTACTGTAGTTATGGATGGGAAGAGGTAGTTGGGAGGGGCGCGATGATTGCTAGGGTTATAAGTGAGGGTTTACTCACACACTGCCTTTTTCCTACTAAGCTCTGGACGTGATTGCGGTCAGGGGAGGCATCCGGGTCTGGCTTTAATTGCAGTCAGATTCGTTCTTTTTTGAAAGTGCTACCGTCTTCCCCCGAACATAACGCACCCTGGAAATGAACGTACACGAGGTACGTTTCCGGCCTGATACAGTCAAAATGAGGGTGCGTTGTGTTCGGGGTCAAGACGGTAGTGTGAGCATACCCTGAGTATCGTGATGTGGTGTGGGGTCGATCAGGTGCCGCAGATGACACGTGGCAGTAGACCGCGACCACATGTGGCGTCGTGGTATGTGGTCATCATCGGCTCGGATTTAGGGTCTCGCCGCACTACTACTGTCACCAAATGCACAAAATGAGAATGAATCTTCCGCTAGAAGATGGAAAGATGCACCGCCGCCATCATTTTGTCTTTTGTGCATTTGGTGAGTAGTGGGGCGAGGCCCTTGTGCTGTAGACGTTGAATGGTTGTGCGTGAGTAGGACGGTGATGATGATTGTTCCTCCGGGGTATTGGTCAGAATTGGAACGATACAGAGAAGATTAGCATGGCCCCTGCGCGCGCGCGCAAGGATGACACGCAAAGAAATTGAGGACCCTGAAGTGATGGTGCGTTGCGCCTGTGTTGTCTCGACTACACGCGGGCGGGGGGGAGGTGGGGG